TAATTATCCCATTGAAAACTGCTTCTTGTTATGGTTCCCTTTTAACAGATTTTCTCCGTGATCTGAAATGTTAGTGAGACAAATAGGAAAAACAAAAACAGAAAGAATGTATTAAGTAGCAAACTTTTTTATTCCACTATTGTTTTTCTTTTTCTTTTCCTACAGCTTTGTTCACGTCCTGCTGTATGAATACATTTGCAAATTGAACAGAGTTGTAAAGTTAGAAATTTCACTCCAATTTTCATTTTTGAAAGAGTAATGAAATAATAAAATGTTTAGAAATGACTACAAATGTTACTTCACTCTGTATGAGGTGATGCAGTTGAGAAACAGAACATAGGACTGTTCAAACATGAAGGATCCCAAAGTTTACTGAAAACAAAATGCGGTTTATCTTGTTGTTTATCCTGTGTTATTAAGTGAATGCAATTTTTACTTTGGCTTATTATATGGTCAGAGTTTAACAACAACAGATGTCTGATAAAGAATAGTAAAATCAAATTAACTTCAAATAGATTTGATATTTATGTTGTTCTTCTCATGCTCATCAACCACAGCTTAAAGTCATATCTCTATTTATCATACTCTTATAATATTTAAGCCAATTAAAGAATGCTTATTTCATTAGAGACAATGTTTAATGATTTACTGAAAAATGCAGTTTGTAATTGCAGTCTTTTACATTAAAACCCACAGTAGGGTCTAAATACGAGGAAAAACTGATGTATCAAGGGCCACCAAGGCATAACCTGGAGAATCTGTCCAATACATCTGTCCAATTGGAATGTGTCCAATACACTCTCCAAAAAAACTACAGGCCATTTATGGATCAGCATTAACTGGTTAAAGGAGAAGTTCGGTTTTTAACACTTTTAGCCCATTTTCTGTAGTGTCCAGGATGAAATCGAATGATCGACACCAAAATTTTGACAGTTGGTCCTGTCTCTGCTTTTTGGCTCATTTAGAATCCACCCCTGGCTGCTTTAGAATGGCTTCCATAGAGCATGTCCGATAATGTCCTTAAAACAACCTTAAACGTTCTTTTTTTTAAATATGCTACTCTTCGGTGGCAGGGGAATATTGACTATTCCAACAGAACTCAATGGGATTCACAAAATGCTAAATAAAACACTACAGGAACGTTTTTTCTTCACAAAACTTTTTTTGGAACGTCATTGAACAGCGCTGACGACCCGGTGAGTAGCATATTTAAAAAAAAGAACGTTTAAGGTTGTTTTAAGGACATTATCGGACATGCTCTATGGAAGCCATTCTAAAGCAGCCAGGGGTGGATTCTAAATGAGCCAAAAAGCAGAGACAGGACCAATTGTCAAAATTTTGGTGTCGATCATTCGATTTCATCCTGGACACTACAGAAAATGGGCTAAAAGTGTTAAAAACCGAACTTCTCCTTTAATTTGTTTTTTCTTTTCCTGAATGTACAACATTACCTTGATAGTGACACAGAAGGACCAGGTTCAAACAACTAATGGGTCCAAGGCATGATTCTGCGTAACAGGATATAACTCAGTATAACACTGTCGACAGAAAATATAACTACTCCTGGGCACACCCACTTCCTCATTTATACCAAGCCAGTGAACCAGTGAACATACTATTCATACCTTGTGGTGTAAAGACACACACCCAGATGAACATGCCCACCACCCAGTCACCATACATTCTGTTCATCTCTCACAATAAGAATATTCTTATTTTAATCTTGTAGCTCTCACAGGGTCATAATCTTAGAGGTATTTTCAGACTGTTTGTTGCAGATTGTGTTCGTTTTTAAACATATTTTTGTCACAAAAAATCTTCACAGAGTTGATGAACAAAAGTCATAACTCAGTAAGGGAGGAACTATGACTTACCACTAGACTTTTCCACAAGTGCTTTTCCTTAGGGTGAGAAAAGACCACACATTTATTCCACTGAGTCCAATAAAATATTCAAAGTAAGAATTGCAAAAGAAACAATCCTCTTTCTCTGCTGTGGTTTAGTGTATACCAGCCCTACACCCAGCACTTACAGAAGGTAGTTATTAACCTCCTAAGCCCCATGGTGTTCTCCTGAAGTTTGTATGCAAAATAACATGCCCAAACCTGATTTCTTAGCAGTTATGAACTCGATTCGAAAAGGTTTATAGAATGTCCTTCATTCACCTCTGAATATTGCCACATCAGAGCTATCCTGTCCAGGAATGAAGCTGAAAAAGTAGTCCATATATTTAGTACATCAAAGCTGAGCTATTGTAAATCTTTATGATAAGGGAGTCCACAAAATATAGTTAAATCCTTTAGCTGATTTAAAATGCTGCTGCTAGAGTACTGATGAAAATAACAGATATTATATTTATCCTATTTTAGCTAATTTTCATTGACTTCTTATTAAATCCAGAATAGAATTTAAAAATCCTCCTTTTTATGTATAATGACCTAAATAATTGAGCTCCATCTGATTGTTCCTTATGTTCCTAGTAAAGCATTATGAAGCAGCAGGTTTACTAGTGGTTCCTAGAGTTTCTAAAAGTAGAATCGAGATGAATCAGTTAGTTATCAGACTCCTCTCCTGTGGAGCATAAGTTTGCCAGTGATGCAGAGACTGTCTACCTTTAGAAATAGCCTTTTGATAAAGTTATTTAAAAGTAGATATTTTGATAAAGCGTATACTTAGAGTGGCTAAGGCTGTCCTGAGCTATCTATATAATTATGCTGCTATATGGTTAGGCTGCTGGAAAACCTAAAGATGATGTTCTCCATCACTTCTATATTTTGGATTATTTTATGCTATTTAAACGTTCAACTTTACATTTTCTCTGCTTTTCTCTGCTTTCCTCTCTTGCTACATGTGACCTGGCACTATGTTTATGCTGTTAAAGGAATAGTACACCCAAAACATGATTAGCCTTCATTTTCTACTCACCCCCATGCTAAACAACACTCTGGAGTACTTTTTTGATATCTCAAATGCATCTGGAGATCTGGGAGGCTTCTTGCTGTCTGCTGACATTCAAATACGTAATGGAGGTCCATGGTGCCCGAG